TAATTCATTCGAAAAAAAAAGAAATTTACAATAATTTCTTCATTGTAGTAACCACAATATAATTATCTCTATTATTTCTAAATATGTAATGAATAATTGCTACAAGAAAGTTCATTTATCTATTTAAATCATTATTTATCTTTTATACTATGAAAGAATTAATTGTAATTCCAAAAATTAAGATCATTTAAAATTCAATATGAAAACTATATATATATATATATATATATATATATATATATATATATATATATATATATATATATGAAATCAAAATAATTATCATTGTAAGCTTTTTTTTATAGCATATAAAAATTATGTCAATGAATTTAATTGAAAAGAATTCTACAGTTTGTAAACACATTAATTCGAAAAATAATTTGAAGATAGAGTTATCTCAGATATCACTAATTGTTTCTCGTATTATTTTCCCTAGACATGTTGTTTTAAAGTTTATTCACTACTTGATACCAGTTTCTATGTGACAAAATGTAAAATATTCACTTAACTCGACCTTTATGTTTCACTGAAGATTGAATTTGTCGGCTTGATTAAGTGTAGAATCTTTTGTCAAATCATGTATTGACTATCAGTGGATAATGAATAATTTAATTTACCGATGGATCAATTAAAACAAACATATTTTTATCAAATGCCTTCAACTTTAATTTTCATGAAATTGTTTTAAATTTAACCTTATGATGTAATCATATGAATTGCATTTTAATTGTTCTGATAAAAGCTCAACTATTCTCATTCATTGTCTTATCTATTCTATCTATGAATAATCTTCTTGACATATCAAATGTGAACTGATTATTTAGTTACATGATTTTGATTTGTTACAAAATTATGTGATCTAGCTGTATGTAGTATTGATTAGTCAAATGTTACAGAATAAATCAATACGTTCACAAGGTATTGGAGAATAGAAATGATTGTCTTATCAATTACAATTAATCAATTCTTATTTTTCGACATTATCTCATTTTTTTCATTTATTTTGCTGATAAATATCTGTGATATGATTAAATGACTGAAGTACAATAAAGTTGAATTGAATTTAAAATCCCTTTATTATCAACTTAATACTCTCAAAATATTTAACAGTATCATGTAAATCAATGCTTGATAAAAACAGTAATGATGTCTATTAAAATAAATTACTCTTTTTTATTATCGATAACTTTACAGGTTTGAATCTTTGAAATTATGAATTGATCAATTTTAGACCTTCTAATGATAAAAATAGATTTCTATCTGTTCACAAGTTCGTATTTATAGACTGATTCTTAGAAAAACCATGACTGCTTGTTTAATTATGATAGTGTCGTTAAAAAGTATCTTGTTCTGTATATTGGTTATTTTAACAAGAGATTTATTCAATTTACAATCTATGCAGTTTGATCAACTCGGTAAAAATGAAGAATATTGTTTCAACATTTGTGAAATCAAGAAAATTTTACAGTCATGTTGAAAGAATTCTTGGCACAATGACAAATAATTTATTCATTTTTGAAACCATGAATCGATCAATGTTAGACCACCATTAGAAACCTGGTAGCACTGGACGGCCGTTTCGTCCTGGTACGGGACTCCTCAGCAATGCTCATTCACGACTCATGCACCCCGCAGGATTAGAACCCAGAACCTTCGGTATTAAGCACGAACGCCTAACCATCGGACCACTGAGCCGGTATCTAACGGTGTTAATGTCCCATACCAGGACGAAATGGCCGTCCAGTGCTTCCAGGTTTCGAATGATGGTCTAACATTGATCGATTCATGGTTTCAAAAATGTGTAACTTAACAATCTTCACAACCCCGCAATGCAAATACTTTATTCACTGGCACTTTAAGTCTTCGAAATTTTGATAAAAGGCAGATTCTAGCAGGACTGATTTGTAAACCTGTTGAGTTCTGTTGGAAGATGTTTGTTGAAATTTTAATCTATATCTGCTTTATCTGTACGTATTCTATACTGATTGTAGTCACAACTAACTGTCTTAATAGGTGAACACATCAGCGAATTAATAAAGTAACATAAGTTCTTTGAATCATTTAGGATTCAATTTTAAAATTACAACGAAATAATGCGATAGTATTTTGTAGATGTTTAAAATTATCTGAATATATCAAACAATATGACAGATGAAGACGGCTGAAAAGAGTCAAGCTTTTCTAAACAAAATATTGTTATATATTGTTTTTAAAAGTTTTAGAAACTCTATTTGACATGAAAATGTTTAGAAATTTTTCGACACACAAATCAGTTTCCCGATTATTAACATTGATCTTTTTCAATAACAGCATGAATGAGGAAAAAGTCAAGACAATTCTTTCACTGGTTATTCGTATAAATCTTAGAAAAAAGTGTCTTTTCACGTGTACTATTCTTTCATTTTTACATCATATGTGTATAGTTCATATTTATCACTGGAGATAAAAGGAATGACAAAATAAAACAAAAGACGTGAACCTATCAGGTATGCATGTGTCTAAGTTATTATTAACATTAATGTTACTTTCATGTACCATGAATTGTTTTCTAACAAATATTGAAAATATTATTGCAAAGCTTACTTTTATTGTATTAGCTGCTTGGTAAATTAAATGCAAAACAACACTTGTATTAGGAATAACAGTGAAATAAATAGTTGATGAAAGGAATTGTGAAACTTTTATTGACTGTTTATAGTTATTATTATTATTATTATTACTACTATCTTCGTTGTTTTACTGTTCTGTGAAATCATTATAAATATATATATATATATATATATATATATATATATATATATATTGAAAAGTTTATATAGATAAACTGTATATCATAAAAAGTAAACATTCTTTTAAACAATAGAAATTTTTATTCAATGTTAAATAAACACCTTTTTAAATAGTTAAAAAATTTTTATTTATATTTTATCTATCAGATGTTTATTTTTATGATAGGATTTAAAAACGACTAAATCGTTCATCATTAAGAAATAAATAACTCAGGATTTTCAAGTTGTGTTAAGTTATCTAACTGGGATATTATTACCAACCTTGTAGTTATAGTATAATTAACAACTGCAAGGTCAGTTATCGTCCGTCAGTCAGTTACGATGTAGAACTTCGTATATACATACACCAGTTCAAATCGCCACATCACATTAGCACAGAGGCACGACTGTCACTTCAGATCCTAAAGTGTAAGAGGTAGTACAAGTAATGACAGCATTGCTTAATCGATAGTCCCAGGACAAACGAGCAATACTTTGAAGACACCTATGATCGAAAACCAGTAACCTATGAATATATTCTACTCTTACTGGCCATGTTTCGCATCCATATAGTAGGACGGAGTGAACTGCTGCGCAGTAAACTCGTCCCTTGGTTAACAAAAAGATATCTCGCCTACATCAAAAGTGACACAAGTTGGCAAAAGTGAGTCTGGCTGTCCGTATCCGTGTTGAGTTTTCGTCACACACCAGGCCATCAGCACTGATGAAACTCCTGAGATAAATGAAGCGGTCGACACGCCCAACTACTTCACTCCCTATCGCTAGTTCAGGTGCCGATACAACCCAATCTTGAAGCAACATTTTGCGTTTCGAGGGGGAAAAACGCATCCTGAACATGCTTGCATTGTTGCTTAGCGTAGTCAGAGGACTCTGCATTTTGTCAGCGTCTTCACCGAATAGAACTATGTCATCAGCAAATTCTAAGTCAACAAGAAGGTTCACCCACGAAAAGTCAGACGAAGATAATATTATATCTAGAAGCAGGTCTATGATAAAATGAAACAGTATTATTGAGTTAAGAAGAAAGACCGTGAAAATAGGTAAACAATGGTAGTAGGTATGTAAACAACATCCAAACAAGTTTAATGCTGACAAATCATACCGTTAATCGTTTGAGAAGAAGCGTTAATAGTTTATTTATTTTTAAAGTATAAACTAACAATATTGTCTAACGATATGCTGGTTAGGTTTCGTAATTTGATGATCTGATTAAGACAAATGCTAAAACTTAAGTCAATTGTCTTTGTATTTAGTTATCTTAGTTCAGTTAATTGAGTGATTATAGCCCATATATTAATGATTATCTATCTCTTCTTAGATTGGTTTTCTTTTGAGAAGTATGAAATACAGATGAGTTTAATTTATATATGACACACTTCTGTTTCCATATTTTCAGTTCAATAAAAACTTCATATTTTCAATTAATCTATCACATTTTAACACTACTTGTCCATAGCGTATAACAGAGTTTATGCTTATCATAATTTTAAGGGAAAAACTAGATTTCAGCTTAATGTTTTGTATCAAATTGAATAATGACGAATTAGATGATTGTTTTTATAATCTATTTCAAGAAAAAGAAAGTAAATTTATTTTTATATCTTATCTTATATAACCTGAAATCATGTTTAAGCGCTCTATTCTAATAGAGATGTGATAGATCAACATTGATAATCATGTTTCCATTACATAACAATGTCTTAATTGTAATTTATTTAAATTCATTAAACAAAAAACTTGGTCAAATAAAATAGAATAACATAGAATAACCATTGATAATAAGAGTCAAAAAAATTAACGAACTATGTTTTGATGTGAGTAATTAGAGAGAAATTAATTTTTGATATAAAAGTATTGTTTGTATTTTTAAAAAGAATTTTAATATCTGAAACAATTTCTTTATGATCATATGATATAATAATTCCTTTTTTTTAAAAAAAAAAACTATAACCACAACCACTCATATTTGTTTATAATAAAATTTTACTCATGACTTTTATCAGTAGATTTAATTCAGTGCTTAAAATAGTTGATTTTAATTGAATATATTAAATATAGCTAAATGTTTATCTTTTTATTTACTGGTTTTTTTAATTTTGTAGAAATGAATTTGTATATATAAATATATTTGCATAATAACTTCTTAAATTTAACTTCATTAAATCTTTTTTTTCTCTTATTTGCACACTTTACAACAAATTATTTTATCAGCCAGACAAGATCATTCAGACGCTAATCATCAATTGGCTACAATGAATGCAACTACGACTACAACACCGACAACAACAACAACAACAAATACTACTACTCGTCATCATCATCATAATCATCATGAACAAAAAGAATCTAGATTGCAACTTCGTAAATTACACACAGAAAGTGGTGAATATGAATTAGGCTCACTTGCTGATGATGAATCAGAAGAAAATCTACAATCTGTCAGTCATAAAACCGATTCAACAGAATATACAATTATTAATGTTTATAAAAATGGAGAAGGAGGCCAATGCCTAGACTATGTCAGTCAAATTCAGCCAAATAAAAATAATGTCAAATCAAGTGAAAAATATTTCAACAGTTTACCAGAACATAGACGTGATTTAGATTTAACTAATAAATCAGTTAAAACTCGTCCGGAAATTCCAGTTCAGTGGTCAACACACAGTAATGTTCCGAACTTATCCGTTGGGAAGAGTACACCCACTACTAATACTACTACTGCTACTGCCACTAATACTAATACACACCAGTCTGAGTTAAATGAAACTTCCATGTCCTTTAATTTAGATGATTTATCTAAGATATATATGAACAGTGAGAAACTGGCCCATATACAAACATCACTATGTAAAACTGTTTCCACTAATACCAACACTACTACTACTTCTACTGTTTCTGCTACTACCAACAATATTAATGGAACAACAAAAACTATTAATGGTAACATTTCAAAGGATCCACTTTTGATTAATCCTAATAAAATTGAAATGAATGGTTATAATTCATTAAAGAGGAATATTTCTCTTAAAGATTTTGTTCAGAATAAAAATTCCACTAAAGTTAAACAAACTGAATCATTCAATACACTTAGTCCAATGGAACAAATTCGTTATTGGCGTTCAGTTGCTGCAACAGCTCAAGCTAATGCAGCGGGTCAGTTGGCTAAAACTGAGAAATTAACTCAAGAAGTAGCAAGATTACGTTGGGATTTAAGTATATCTCATATGGAAAATAATTTATTACGTCAAAATTTAGCATCAGTTCAAGCGGAATTAGATTGTCTTCGTCAAATTCCTAAAGATGTTTCAAACTATGTGCAACATAAGGAAAGTATTCATCAAGCATTATATCCTTAGTTAACATAATATTTAATAGGGTATTGTATGAAAAAGAAGCAGCTTTCTCGAATCTATCATAATATTATTGATCTCGATACGAAATACCACTATTCATGCACATTTATATGTATTTGTTTGTACGCACAATTTTTTTGTTGTTGAAATATAAAAACATTTTGAAAATGATAACAACACTAGTATCATCATTGTTATGATTTATTGGCCTCCATTTTTAAAAAATCATTCATTGTTGAATTTGAAAATTATTAATTTTAATTTTAAAAAAATACCATAATCAGTTTCTTCTTGTAAACTGTAAGCCTTATTGGTTCTTTGCCTTAACAAACGAAGAAACACGTAAAGTAATCATACAAAAGAAACAAATTCATTTATGTCATTATTCTAATAATTAAAAAAAAAACAACACGTAAATGATGAAGGAGAAAACACGATAATTTCATTACTAAAACATACTAACTGATACTGTAAATTATGTTACATTAACTGTACATTGTCTTCTTTTTCATTTATTCAAAATAATTAAATTATTAAGTAACTATTAAAACAATTTTAATAATTGTTATTGTTATTATTATTAAAATAAGTAAAAAGAAGAATTATTTGAATTTATTCTTCTCTATAATGAATTCATTGAAATAAATTTTACTTTATTAATTACTTGAGACTCTTAAGTCATTTGTCAGAATAAAAAGTCTTATTAAGTTTAATGTGATCAATTCCACATTCATTTAAAATACATTTTTAGAAAAAAAGACCACTAAGCAAATTTCAAGTCATATGAAGAATTATTGAACATGGAGTGATATATATTAACGAATTCGATAAAAAGTTTCATACAAGTAAAATCGAATTCCTGTGAGAGAGGCATGACATATAACTTTGTAAAGTCACTTATATTTTGGTGACATAAACAGATAAATTCACAAATGAATGGAATCAGTGCTTGATTGGTTAAGGAACATTTCGTAATGTAATATAAGAACAGTCATGAAACGCAAAAATACTTTTCTGGTTATTTAAAAAATGACTTTAAATTAAACAAATCAATACAAAGGTAACAAAGTTATTTCATAATGAAAATCATACTTTATTCAAAAGACCAAGGTGGATTTTTTGAAATAGTCACTGTAGTACTTCATCTTGAAAAATTTTTATTAAGCTCTTTCATGGAGGTAACGATTTTAGCATATGATCTGCTTCCTTTTGAAATATATAGCTAAAAGTACAAAGATTTTTAAAAGAAAGTCAATAATTCAGCTTTGAGAATCATATAGAAATGTTACGTAATAACGTAAATAAAATACGTATAACAGTGGCATTTATGACGACTTAAATTAAGTAAACAGACATTATTTCCATCAGACCAGTATGGTTGCTATTTTAACTTAAACAAGATAAAGATTTCTTCGTTAAATAGACTACCTAAATAGTCATCATAATTAAATATTAGTCCTTGAATGAAACTCCCCAGTAATATGTACTGAGGTCCTGTAAAATGTACATCGTTAAATCGGCATACAGTCGCTTGCATTTGCGTTTTCTACCAATGGATGAAATAGCGTAGACACATTACATTGTCAATAACCATACATATCCCTTCTGGGGTAAAATGAACTTGTAGCGGTCATGGCTCTCAGCTGGAATTTGGAGAATTTTCTGAAACACTAGTGGATACTATTCTTTTCAGTATCTTAAACGCACAAAGTTTGTAGGGATTGCTCCTTTTCAGATAATAAACTGCAGAATAATATAACTTGTACTTGGTTCAACAGTACCCGACCGTAGCTGCTACCTTGACGTGGTGGTCGGGCTTGCCTATCGTCATGACCCAACCGAGCTATACTGGCTGGAACATATGTTCCTGCAGGTCCTACCATGCCAGGCTGGTCGATTGGAGAACGATGAGACTAAAAGCAGCTACCCAAGGTCTGAGGGCGAAGTCGTACTGCTGACTGTGATGGAGGGCTGTGACAGCAGTAAGGTGTTTCCCTCGGACAACCAGCATCTGCAGCGATGCTGCCTTCTCACTAGGAAGGAAGGGTTAGAAAAGGTCGGCCCTAAAAATGTCACACCTCTCCTTGGGTAAGGGTGCCCACTAAGGGCCTTTAAGAACGGAGCTAATCCTCTAGACTACATGTTGGAGCTTTTAATGTACGGACATTGTGTCAAATAGTGCAACAGGCATCATTAGCTAGGACTTTAGAAACTCGTGCCATCGATGTATGCTGCGTCTCGGAAACGCGCATACAGGATCCTAGTAAAGTCATTAACCTGATTCCACCTTGTCAAAACGAAGAAGAAGCCCGATTCACTCTTCGTGTATCCGGTAGCCCTGATGCTGCCTCCAGGGGTCTTGCTGGCGTAGGCATAGCGTTGAGTCCTAGGGCAGAATTATCTCTCCTGGACTGGATCCCAGTAGATAGTCGCTTGTGCGCTGTCGGACTAAACGGGACAGTAAGGACTCGGGAGGATAGGGACACTCGCCGTTGCCTCTTCGTCATATCTGCCTATGCCCCCACTGACTGCAGTGTAGACGAGGTTAAAGATGAGTTTTACAGAAAGCTTTCGGACCTCCTCCAAAAAGCTAGGCGCTCTGATATAGTAATAATGGCTGGTGACTTTAATGCTCAAGTAGGTAGACTAGGTGAAAAGGAAAGACATCTAGGTGGATGCTATGGTGAAGCGACTGAGAGAACAGACAATGGCGACCGTCTGTTGCAACTATGCTCAGATAACCGCCTATTCTTAGCGAACCCCAACTTTAGGCATAAGGAAAAGCATCTGCTGACCTGGCGACCTCCAAAGTCGTTTCAACGTTGGACGCAACAAGATCACATCGCCATCAGCCACCGATGGAGGGGTTTGATAGAAGACTGTCGCTCGTTCTGGGGCACATGTTTGGATTCAAATCATGTTCTAGTGCGAGCTCGTATCTGTTTGAGGCTTACTGGACGTAGGAAAGACACCTTAAGGAAGCCTCTTAGGGTTTTACTTAATGATAATAGGGCGAAGAATATATTTCAGGAACAACTAGAAAGAGAGTTAAGCAACGATGTAAGTGATTCCCATCCAGAAGCAGGTTGGTATGATATCAAAAAGGCTGTGGAAAAAGCAGTGATATCTGCTAGTAAGGTAAACCATAAGGCTAGGATGAAGCCGTGGATATCAGTCGCATCCACCGAACTGATGGATGCTCGAAAACGCATCCCACCTGACTCTGAGCATGATGAAAAGCGTAGTCAGCTTAGGCACAGACTTATAAAAAGTCTGCGTAACGACCGCGAACAGTGGTGGGTGGCGAAAGCAAAAGCGATGGAAAAGGCAGCGGCGATCGGCAACAGTAGACAACTTTTCCGCCTTATTAAAGAAACTGGTATTAAGAACCCGAATGTGAGTGAGACTATTTCGGAAAACGATGGTCTTATTATTCATTCTCAATCCAGGAGATTGGATCGATGGGCAGAACACTTTAGGGATCAGTTCAACTGGCCTCGAGCTACTCTTCGATTACCCACGATCTCCAGTCATCCTGAATGGCAAATCGACCTAGGTCCCCCTAGTCTTAATGACGTTGAGAAAGCGTTAGGAAATCTGAAACGAGGACGAGCTGCAGGTCCTGATAGACTGACCCCTGAGATATTTAAGGATGGTGGTCCAGTTTTATCAGCTAGGTTGACTGAGATCTTAGGTAGAATCTGGGAACTGGACGCAATCCCATCCGACTGGTCTCAATCACTGATTGTCCCAATCTATAAGAAAGGACAAAAGTCTTCTTGTGACAATCACAAGGGGAATAAGTCTAACTAATATATTATCTAAAATATTGGCCTCAATAATACTTCGACGCTTAACGAAAGCTCGTGAAGAGCAGACTCGAGAAAACCAATCTGGTTTTCGACCTGGACGTGGTTGTATAGACCACATCTTCACACTAAGACAGGTCCTGGAACGTAGACACACATTTAGGCGTCCTAAAATAGTTGTTTTCCTGGACCTTAAGGCGGCAATTGACTCTGTGGATCGTGAAGTTCTGTGGCAGTGTCTGTCACTGAAAGGTGTACCAAAGAAGTACATTAACCTTATACAAGCCCTTTACTCGAACACCACTGGTCGAGTGAGAGCTTATAGCGAACTGTCACCGGAATTCTTCACTTCAAGTGGTGTCCGTCAGGGATGTCCACTCTCTCCATTTTTGTTTAATTTTATCATAGACATGCTCCTACATATAACCTTATCTTCGTCTGAATTTTCAGGAGTAGACCTACTACCAGGTGGCTCGCCTATTGACTTAGAATATGCCGATGAAATTGTCCTACTTGGTGAAGATGCTGACAAAATGCAGAGTCTTATGACTACCTTAAGCAATTATGCAAGCATGTTCGGGATGCGGTTTTCCCCCTCGAAATGCAAAATGTTGCTTCAAGACTGGGTTGCATCGGCACCTGAACTAGTGATAGGGAGTGAGGTAGTCGAGCGTGTAGACCGCTTCACTTATCTTGGGAGTCTCATCAGTGCTGATAGCATGGTGACTGACGAAATCTCAGCTCGGATACAGAAGGCTCGATTGGCTTTTGCCAAGTTGCGTCACTTATGGCGTAGGCGTGATATCCGTTCTCTAATCAAAGGACGAGTGTGCTGTGCAGCAGTTCGCTCCGTTCTCCTATAAGAATGTGAAACATGGCCAGTGAGAGTAGAAGATATTCGTAGGTTACTGGTTTTCGATCATAGGTGTCTTCGAAGCATTGCTCGTATACCGCGGGACAACCAAGTAAGTAATGCTGTCGTTAGGAAACGAGTACTAGGTAAGGATGGCAGATCAATCGATGAAGTGGTGAAACTTCATCAGTTGAGGTGGTTGGGACATGTGTTGCGTATGCCGAACCACCGACTGCCTCTACGAGCCTTGTTTTGTAGTGTAGGAGTAGGTTGGTAAAAAGTTAGGGGTGGCCAGACCAAAACATGGCAGAAATCCATGAATCCATTGACTAGTGGACTGAGCCATGTCGGTAATTGTCGACTACCTGGTTGGGGTCCGCGAGATAATAATAATCGATGGTTAGAGACCTTGAATGACATGGCTCAAAATCGTTCGCAATGGCGCCAGTGCATTTATTCTTTGTGTTCTATCAAATGCTAATCTTCTGGATTCTTCAACCCCTCTAGTTTCGACTCCCTAAACTTTTCTCACTGAATCATACTTCTTGAATAATATCTCCTAATCCTAACCTCTCCGATTACTTCTAATACCTTTACTACCTCTTCTACTATTGGATTTGAATTGACGATTACTTCTCTGTGCTGATGTGGTATGGCAACATGAACTGATGTACTTACGTACCAAGTTCTACGTTGCATCTGACTGACTGACTGACTGGTTCAACAGTAAGTAAAGTAATGCGGGTGTAAGTGAATTCAAGTAAATCCATCTGATATGTTATAAAAGGAGAATTTGTAAATATTTCTTATTTTCTTAACAGTTGTCGACAAATCTATGTTCATAGAACGATTACTAGTGAATCCTATTCATCTTGTATAATGAAGTCAACAAGATGTAACAGATTCTGACTACTGAGTTATGTTATTCTGTGTGACAGTTGATAACTTGAGAGTAAGTTATGATAATTTTAATGCGTATAAAGTTCGGGTCGCTACTGAAA